GAAATTGATGAAAATGAAAGGGAAATTGTAGATATAGATAGTGATTCAGCTGATGAATTAGAAGAGGAAGAATTAGAATAAAAAATATAATAAAAAATTTTTTTGCATAAATTTTGGGTGGTGCTTATTTTTGCTTTTCAAGTTTTTCCGCCTAAAGTCTGGGTGGTGCTTAAATTCGGGTGGTGCTTAAATTCGGAAGGATACGGTAATTACCATTTCGCACTGGGAAAATGATCTGGGAGAAAGTAAACAACGGATATAAGGAGTGAGACAAACAGAACACATGATGATTTACATTTATAGTAATACAACATGTAAATTTACTATTTTTGATCCTCAAGGATTTTTAAATTCTCATGTGAAGCTGATCTGATCTGATCTGATTATCGTTGAGAAAAATTAGTCATATTTAATGGAAACCCACTCCCCCATTTCTTCATCCTCTTCAAACACGGAGACGACAATACAACATTTGAATATCTCATACCACACTAGGACACACATACCATACACGCACCATACTAATACATAACATACCATGCACACACCATAAAGCCTTACTCTCGGCGGCTAACGTATAGATATACTCCGGGTCTGGCCCGCGTAAGAATGAACGCGTAAGAATGAACCTGCCGCTCTGCGTAAGAATGAACCAGCCCGGCCCTGCGTAAGAATGAAAGTCCGGCCCTGCGTAAGAAAGAACCGGCCCCGCGTAAGAAAGAACCAGCCCCGCGTGAGAAAGAACCAGCCCGGCCCCGCGTAAGAATGAAAGTCCGACCCCGCGTAAGAATGAAAGTCCGGCCCCGCGTAAGAAAGAACCGACCCGGCCCCGCGTAAGAATGAACCAGCCCGGCCCCGCGTAAGGATGAACCAGTCCGGTCCCGTGTAAGAATCGAGCGATCTAATATGTTAGAATATTAAACGGTATTTGAGGAGGGTGAAAGTAGAAACATAGATTTAATTTTAAACTTACTGTATATTAGTTTTAATAGAGTAGAGGACTTAGAGTGTAGTCTAGAGCTGGGAGCCGAAGAGCCGAAGAGCAAACTGTTGGCACAGTTTGAAATCTTTCAAGAACGGTTCAACTGCTATTAAAGAGGGGACAGCGATTTGATCAAGTGATTTCTGCAGTACTGAGATAGAGTAGTTCGGGATGATGGTCATTTCGCAGCTCTACCGAAATCTAAGTCCGAAACATTTAATTTATTTTTATATTACTATTGGACATTATAGTAGATTGTAAATTTATCAAATAAAAAACTTTTTTGAAAACTAAAACGAAAACACCTCAAATGAATGGATTCGGGTGATATTATTCACTAAGATCTTGCTGATTAATGGATGTCTGTTCACTGAAAGAAACATAGTTACTTAGTCGTAATAATGTATTAAAAGAGGACGAATGATTCAATTTTATTATGCATCATCTTTGATGGTAATTGGTTGAGGATGCTGAGTTTGTGTTTATTGAATCGTAATAGTAACCCAACAATACATCGATAATTTTAGACCACCATGTATACAGTATGGTACACCTTTAGCATTCAATTGTAGGTGTAGACAATAAAAGAACACAAAACTCCATGTATACAGTATGTATTATTATAACTCATGTAAGAATTGCATCGTCTTATTCTTAAAGTAAACCTCCAATTATTATTAAATATATCTAGAAAATAAATAATTGCAAAAGCCATATCTAATATCAGATTGGCTTGATTCTTTGAAAATGCAAACAAAGAATAGCTTCTTTTGTCTCCCAATGATCGAGAGGATGTATTAAATAGAATACACAAGTTCCTCACCACCTTGGCTGATGAGATGCGTTTAGGAAGAATACCCACAGACAAGATAAGGTCTGTTGGAAAGAAGTTATATGTTAATTGATCTTTGCCATCAATTACTAATAACTCAACAACAATAATCGATTTTTGTCATAATCCAAAATAGTGCAACAACCAAGAATCCAATGCTTATATAACTTATATGCTTGTTAACCATAACTGTTTATACTAAAAATTGACACATAATATTAAGTATGGTTAAATTTCGATATACCAATTCGCTTAATTCTTCCAAAGACGTGAAATCAATTTTGTCATAATCTGGAAACAACCAAGCATCCAATACTCACATAACTTATGTGCTTGTTAACCATAACTGTTGTCAAGGTGTATACTAAAAATTGACACAGAATATTAAGTATGGTTTAAATTTCAATATTCCGATTTGCTTGATTCTTCCAAAGACGCAAAATCGATTTTTGTCATAATCTGGAATAGCGCAACAACCAAGCATCCAATACTCACACAACTTATATGCTTGTTAACCATAACTGTTGTCAAGGTGTATACTAAAAATTGACACAGAATATTAAGTATGGTTTAAATTTCGATATACTGATTTGCTTGATTCTTCCAAAGACACGAAATCAATTTTGGCATCCAATACTCACATAACTTATATGCTTGTTAATCATGACTGTTGTCGAAGTGTATACTAAAAATTGACACAAAATATTAAGTATGGTTTAAATTTCGATATACTGATTTGCTTGATTCTTCCAAAGACACGAAATCAGTTTTTGTCATAATCCAGAAACAACAAAGAATCCAATGCTCATATTAATATAACTTACATGTTTGTTCATTGCAGTTATCATTAACGTGTATATAAAATATCAATATATGATATTCAGTACAGTTATTATGTGAAATTCATTGATACAACAATATAAATACATTGCAAAGTTGCTAGAACATCACATATCATGTGTTTGAATAATTATTATCTACACATATACCTACCATAACAATGTCAGTAGAAATGTAAGTGCATTGTTGACAATCCACCCAGATCCTTGAAGCAAACATGAATGTTGGTGACAATGAATAGCAGGATAATAGGAATTCCATTAATGGTATACATTGTAGGTGGAGATTTTATTAATTACTTTCGATTCTTATCAAATAAAATGCAACAGTAGTAGCAGAAGTGAAACTGCTGGTCCATTGGGATAAGAAACACTCATTAGGTTACGAAAGCTGCTATTAATATTAGTATGGCCATGGTCAGCATCTAGTTGCAACAGAAGAAACTATGTGCATCATAGGAAGAAACTATAATATTATTATATTTTGCCAGGTGAGACTTTGTCAACAGATTCTTTTAAAATGAATGCCTATTTCATTGCAAATGCAAAATTGTTCAAAAAAGCAAGTCAGGAGGTAAAATTTTTGTTATAGCCATGTCAGGTGTTTGATTGTGACATTTTATACCTTGATTATGCAGAAAAATTCCACCCCTAATTTTACATTAATATGTGTGATTATATGTGTCTTCAGAAATGATCAACAAAAAAATTTCAGAAAAGGTACTTGGTGGTAGATTTTGTGAAATAACACTGGACTATTAGTCATGTCTGTATTTGGGACTGGTCGTTTAGTCTTAATGTCTGGGGAGATGGTGCATCTATGTTTGCTGAGATAGGAGGAGGACACTATCTGAGCAGATTTAGTTCTCTGTGCTAGGACTTTTGCATATGATGGGGAGTCTTTACCCAGGAAAGCATTAAGCATGGCCTCCTTCTCTGATCTGGCTGTACTTTTAGGGGCATGGATTGAGTCACCAAGTTTCCTTTCAGTGAGGTCATAGTCCATCAGGTCTTTGATTGTGGTAGTTTTAGGGGGGTTGCAGGCCATCTGCAGTTGTTTGCCATCTGCAATTTCCCCTCTTTTCCTTAGTTTCCTAAAGGTATGTGTAGCTGGGATAGCTGTATTTCCTCTTTTTAGGTCCCACATGGTAATGTTGCCTTTTCCTGTGAACCATTTGAGTAGGTGGATTGGGGCCCAATCCAGTGATACTCCAAAAGGTTCATCATTTATGATAAGTTTGAGTGCATTGGCCTTGGTGGGTCTTTTTGGGAACAGGATAGGATGGTTGGTTTCTGGGATGATTGCATGTTCAAATCTGTTTGGGAGTTCCTCTTCACTTGAACTGTCAATGCTCATTGCTTCTGAGTTACTGAGTTGTTTGTTTGTTCTTGCACTTTTTTGCATTGGACCCTTCCTGGTGTCACCTTTAGGTGTTGTGTTCCTTTTTTGGGTTGTGCAATTTTGTTGATCCTTTTTTCAGGTACTTTGCTGTCCCTGATATTTTTTCTGGTTACACCAACATTCTGAGTGGGGATTTTTGATATTGATTTTAATTCAGGCAGTGATGGGAAGTCTCCATCACTATTGAGGTCAAATGGAATTTAGTTGGATCAGAAGCTCTTCTGGTTTTGCTTTGCTTTTGGCCTTTAGCCTGGCCAGAAGGTTTGTTTCCAATGATTCTGTTAATGATATTCTTTACTTGGTCATTATCATCATTGTCACTGATGCTTATTGAGGACATCGAGTATGCTGGTAGGTTTTCAGCATTTACCAACTGGAGACTTGTGGTTTTGTTGCCCATGTCATCCATTGCATGCTCAATGCATACTCTGACTGTTGTAAGGCCATGTTTATTTTTGACATTGTCATAGTTTGTGATGTTAGGGCAACCTTCAATCTTGCATGTGCTGGCTGGGGAGGATACTGGGGGGAGCAGTGGGCTGACTGGAGCTAGGAGAGGTTAGGTTTCCCTTCTTTTTAAGCAGAGCCTGGAGTTCAGGTGAGCTCATAGGGGAGACTCTTACTGCAATTGCAGGTTCATTTGCTGTGGAGCTTCAGTCAAAGCTGCTGACTTAGTTAAGGGGGGTTCTTCTTCATCAGATACTATTTCCTCAATTTTGCTGAGGACTTTTCATCCTTGAAAGGGTTTAACCTGTTTGCCAGAGTGAAGGGCACATGCATGGTAAGGGGTGCCTTCTTCTTCTTTGGTACTGTCCATTAAGTCTTCTTCATTTCTTGTGAAGACAGAGCAGACAGCTACACAGGTACAGTTGGGAGCTTTGCACAACTTGCTCACCTCTACATTCCTGCCCAGGGACTTGGAAAAAACTGTACTGTCTTTGAGTGGGCTCTTCTCCTCCACTCTAATGTCCTCCTTCAGCATAGTTTTGCTTGCTGAGGGGCTTTTTTCTTTTCTTCCCTTTAGTCATGGTGACTTCAGGGAGTAGGGGCTGTATGGAACTCATTGTCTGCAGTGTTTTAAAGTGTTTTGAATTATTATAGGTAGTTGTTAGTTCTTTTCTTCAGCAGCAGATTTGCATTTTAAAGGGTAAGATGGTTCACTAAGTCCATCAACCCTGACTATTTTGGTAATGGAGAATTTTGTATTACCAAATATGGTAAGGACAATGAGCTAGTGAGGCCTACCTCATTTGCAGCAGCTTTATCTTGGAAGGCTGAGGTCTTTACAAGGAGCAATGCCAATAATACTGGATTTGAGGACTTTGAATAGGTCCTCTTCACTAATGGGAAGAGCAGAGGTCAAAGGATGCTGAATTTTGGAGGTCAGTGTTAGGGACTTGTCTGTTGGAGATGGTAACATTGTATTTCAGATCACATTCAGTGTTCTGGAAGAAAAAAAGGTGAGTTTTTGGCTGCTGTTTTTTGGTAGCAGCTGCTACTTTGGCATAGGTAATAGGACTTAGCAAGGGCTTTGGTTTGCTTGGAAGAAGACATTTTATTAATGTTTGCTTTCACCTAGACTAATCTCTCTTTGATGGAGGTGTATGTATTTACTGCAGAGCAATGTGGTAGTGGGTTAAGATAGGACAAGACAATGCATTAGTTGATATTAATATTAATAAATTGTTGGAGATTGATCCAAATAGTGCATTTTAATTTGTATTGGGAAGCCTTCAGAAAATAACAAGAACATCAATACCGAAAACAATGCATTATATATAAACTATAATATATTTATCAATGAGTAGTATCTAGTTTGGAATAAATAAATAGTTATCTCAAATTGTGCCACGCAACGACGGTAGTACGTAAATTAATTGTGACAGCATGCCAATAGTAATAGAGTTCTAACCGATACTTAATACTCCTAATTTAATTGTCCCGATTCTTGATCATCTTTGCAATCAATCACGGTGAACAAACCATCTCGTCGTCGGGGGCGAACGTCCCGCCAACGCAATGGACGAGGCAAACGCGTAACTGATAGAGGACAAAGTAAGTATTTGTCTGTTCAGAACTATGTATAATGATCTGCCTATATCTTTGGTCGAGTTCATTGGATCTTAACTGTACGGATTGTGTTCGTACATGATGAGTTAGTATTAACATTTATGGATAAATCCATTAAACAGATATACTAAATGCAGAATGGAAGTCGTTTATGTTATGGCTAAATCGACGAGGGTTACCAAAGACCAAGTTGACACTTGCCAAATTCGAAAGTATGTGGTGAAGGGACACTCAATGTTAGCATACTATTGAATTGTTTAAATAATCGGTTATAATCCAGAGACAGGAAGGGGTCTAATGGCCACAAAAGACATTCGGGTGAGATGTTAGTCGCTGTACTTGGTTTATATATGACTTGAATAGTTCTAACAATAACAAAGTCAGGAGATCTCATAATAGAAGTTCCCTATCAGCTTCTCATAACTCGTGCAAAAGCTATTTCTTCACTCGGATCTTGGGCTGCAACGTAACTATCTATTTGTTTACGATTTAAATTCTTGCTCTACCGCTTCTAAGCACGTCTCGTCATAGGTTATCATCCCACCAAGCAATAGCACTATATTTAATATTAGAAAAATCCAAAGGCATTCGTAGTCCTTGGTACGAGTATATAAGAGTGCTCCCGGAGAGATTTGATAGCATCACTTCGAACATGATTGATTTCTTGCCGGAAAATGTTAGAGGTAGGAGCTAAGTAAAGAAAGTTTCAGATGGATGGTATATCGTTAATATGACTTAGATTGGACATTGTTACAATATAGTTGATTTAGAAAGACAGAAAGAAAAGTTCGAAAGAGATTATGCTGCGATTGAACAACTTCAGGTATTTGTAATGTCGTGAGGATGTAGTCTTGACTTATCTCACGTCTTTTTCAATTCCCAAGGCTACTTCCAACGCGTATAATCCAATTTCCAGTAACGAGTTCTTATGGGGATGGTCATGTGGTGAGTAGAGCGTTTCTACAACATACGCACTTGCTCACTTCCTATACTCTCATAATTTCTTATCAATTTCTTCGCCACCGTCATTAAAGTAAACACGCGCTGTATATATTTCAAAGCGTCGAACTGCCAATTATCCTTTTCCTCGGATGAAAACATCGCAATAGCTCCGATGCTAGATTTTCTCAATCATTCTAGCTGTGCCAAAGTATGGAGCGGATTTTATGAGTTGAAATGCCTTTTTGATGAATGCCAAATATCATGCTAAAGGAGGTTACTCATTTTTAGATTATGGGAGAGTTCAATCAACAATCTAATTGTTATCAAATTACGACAATGACAACCATCAAGAAGGGTGAAGAGGTACTTTTTAGTCGATATTGACGTTCCGATCAAATGCGACAGTGTCTGTTAAGTTTCTGATTCTCTTCTTCTAACGATTGTAAACCTTAATCGAAGGTCTTTATAAACTATGGGCCGCATGATAACTTTAGACTGTTAATCGAATATGGGTTTACAATTCCCAATAATCCGTTCAATTATGTCTCAATGGACGAAGAATTCCTTTCTCTTTCTCTACCTGACGAAGACGACACTATCAAACAATATAAGTTAAATATATTGACACAGGCTGGATTTATGGGGTATGCTTTGTTGATACCTTTCTTCTGTTTCAACATTCAACATTCTAATTTTGTTATTGTTGCATAATAGCGATTACACTCTACGCGAAAAAGAAATCTCTTTTCGTCTGTTGACGGCTCTTCGCTTACACGTCTTACATCCATTCATCCCTTCATCAACACATGCGCAGTCGCTCATCGCCCGTTGGAAAGATACACTAATAGGACGACTGGATAAGATAAATGAAGAGAACGACCAGTTGGTATTTGATTATTTGGAGAGAATGTGTCAGACGACGTTAAACAAAGCTGACATAGTTATGAATAATCTGGTGGGTTTCCCAAACAATAAGTAAGGCTGGTTGTGCATTCGAACACGTTTTAACGCTTTCATTGGTTTCTAGTCCAGTGAATTGAGCCGAAATGGGACATTCCATATCTACCAGATATGGGACGAGTCAGTGGAAATATTAAAGTCGGTAATTGACCTTTGTCATGCAAAATAATGTATGTCATTGATAGTAAGCTTCGGTTGAATGGTTATGCAATTAGAGTGCAAACAAATTTTTTTCGTATGTAGGAGGTTTAATCCGTTAAAGCAGTTAAGCATCACCTTGCCAGTTAATATTGCGGCGTATCCTCCAATAGTTTTACCTATCAGAAATTTATGATTTACCAGAAACAGTTGATAAATTTCAGCTACTCAAATAGAGCAATCATATGGCAAATTTTAATATATTCATGTTGAAATATCTATAAACTTCCTTGCTGAATAGAAAAAGCTCTTTCCTTATTACGAATACTCTTTGGGTAATGTCTCTAACCTTATTAATCACAGCCAAAAATTAAATGCGAAATTTTACATTTTATCTTTCACCAGTGGCATTGAAAGACGCGTTTGTGATCCTTACTTCGCGCGGATAGCGATGTACTGCCCGTAGAGTCGTACTGCTGCTATATCATGATGGTGTTCTTGTTTTTACAATTAAATGTATGTAGGTGGATAAGGAGAACGATTATTTTCTAAAATCCCAAGTAGTGAAAAGCAAGTTACGAAATATTCTTTTTCTAGATATTCCACTCTACAATTAGTTTAATCGACACGAATGAAATAATTACATAAATAAATAATTAATAGTGTTTGCAGTGTGAGCCAAAAAATTGGTATGATAACAATTTATGATTGAAGAGAGAAGATTGTAGAAGAGACAGTAGTCGTAGAGCTATGTATATAATAATAAATAGAATAAATAAAATAGACAAAAATTATGGTAGAAAATTTAGAAACCCAAAAACAAAAAAACCCCCCAAGAATTACAGTATTAGACGAAATAGAGTTGTTGAAAAAGCAAAAAAGAAGAAGAATTTAAGTTGAGAACTTGAAATGCAGTTGATATAAGAAAAACAAAAATACATAAGCTAGAATTACCACGTTTTCTCTATCCTAACTATCATATGGTAGCGCCCATAAGTTATCCCGTGAGTGTCCCGACCCCGAACATACGATTTTTAGCTACAGTATATTGGTTAAAAATTGTGTGTAAAAGAATTACTGTATGATGCATCTAGAAAAATCACATGAGCGTAAACAATACGGCAAGCCAATCAGACAAGTGAGTCACATGGTAAAATTTTCAAGCAAAATCCCATGATCGACGACATTAATTTTAGATTTATGCACCGTGCGTGAGTGTCAGGCAGAAATGTTTCGATTTTTGGTGTCAGCACAAATGCAATTAGCTAACTTAGAATATGATTGGTTCTTCATAAAAATTACGTTTGTTTAATTATTTTATAACTCCGTTTCGATTTTTGAGTGTCGCTAAAGGTGTACCCCTTACCCCATTGTCGAATTCTCATGTTGTTTAATGTTGTTCATGTTGTTAATGTTGTATGTGTTGTTAATGTTATTCATGTTGTTAATGTTGTATATGTTGTAAATATTGTTCAGGTTATTAGAACAATAATTTCCACTCCATGGAATAATAATAAACGATTCCCTTTGAAATCGAAACTTTACTTTTTTTCATTGTTAAAATATTAATTGTTTGACCGGACACACTAATAAGCGGCTTACTCAAGCTGTAAACGTCCATAAACGGCTCATTTAGGCTGTATAAGTTGTCCGTTGATCTATTACTCTTAATTGAGGAACGAGAGCCAATTGAAACGAAAATTGTTTAATTAGTTTGAGACAAGTGACGGAACCTGACTAGTCGAAATACCAAATCGAAGATAGTAATAGACCTGCTTAATATTAAATAGAATTTATTCCCCTTCGATTCTGCAGTAGAATAATTGTTGTTGTTATTTTATTGTGACCCTTATTTGGAATCACGAGTGATTTGAAGCTCGGATAGGGAGTTGGGAAGCGCGCATTAATTTAATTATATAAATAGGTCACTTGTAGATTAGAATTGAACATCTACCGTATTAAGGGCGGTAGCACGAAGCTAATCTGGTAACATCCTCCGGTCGAAAGAACACCCCTACGCGAAAGACTAATCGCTCTCCCAAACCCCAGATCATCCGACTGTAATGGTTAATTATTCCGGTTATTCCAGTACATCTTATAAATTTTTATTTCTATTGTGCTTTGTTGTTTCAATAGTAATTTGAGCTGTGGAGTGGTTGGCATCTTCCTAATATACTTCGCATTTTCAATTTGTCCAAGTGGAGTATAAGAACCCGGTGATGGCCGATTTTCATAATCGTTTATTATTATGATTTCACTAACACGTTGCTACAAATACAAAGTGCAATGGAATTCGTAAACAAAACTATAATCAAACCAAATCAATGTAAACCGTTCTGCTTACCTCTATCATTACAAAATGGGCAATCAACGGCAAAGAACCTTTATCGGTTGCTAATTTGTTTTTAAAACATGGCCATGGTCTATACGGTGTGTTACAAAAAAAAGTGGAATTTTTCTTTTCTAATATAAAAAGTATGACAGAATTAGATAAAAGTTTACAAATATATGTATTTTTATACAAGAAACAAATTTACTTACGGCAATTTGACGAGTTATCTTATTAACATGTTGTATAATTTCAAAAATTCAAAACTCAAAAAATTTTGTTATACTTGTATAAAACAAAAAAAATCCTATTATTTTACACAAAGATTTTCAAATATGTTCTTCATGTTGTTGCAAACGAGTTTACTTAAAGTTACTTAATTAAATATCTTAAAGTTTTTATAAAAAATGCTTTTGTTATTTTTTAACTTGTAATTACTTTTTCGATGTTTTTTTTCCAAGATTAATTTATAAATTAAGAAAAATTTTAATAAAATAATCTATTAACTTCCTTAAATAAATTTGTTCTCTATATTATACAAAATATAATTATAAATTTTGGACAATTTAGCTTTTTTTTTTCATCGCACAATAGACTAGAATATAATTTCACTTTTTTTGTAACACACTGTATATACAGCCCTCCAATAAATGACCGGGTAACACAGTAAAACATATGAAAAGTCCTTTTTTTCAAAAAATTCTCCTGCTTTTGTGTACTATACGAAGTGCAATAATTTTTGTATGGTTCTGAAGCTAATTGATTATGCTGTTCGAAACAAATAACAATAAAATTTTATAAGTTATTGTTATAAGTTAGTAGCTCGACGAAGCGTGACTATACGTGCTATACATATATAATCATATATTTTCATATCGTGATTTAAAGACAGCTGCTTCAACTTGCTACAGTTTAACAGTAATAACTTATAAAATTTTATTGTTATTTTTTTCGAACAGCATAATCAATTAGCTTCAGAACCATACAAAATTTATTGCACTTCGTATAGTACACAAAAGCAGGAGAGATTTTTGAAAAGAAAGACTTTTCATATGTTTTACTATTAAAAATTCGTGTTATCCGGTCATTTATTGGAGGGGGCTGTACATTCGTATCTATAATAAAATTTTCAAGAATGCAATATCGCAAGCGAAAATGCATAAGGGGCAAAATCTGTCTTTTGCTCAGAGCTGAGATATGTAAAAGATATGCCAAAAAGCCATGACCAATTTGGCTAACTAATAGTATACATGACCTTCATGATGATAACACGGTTTGGTGAATTTAGTATTAGGCTTCGTATTGTTTGTCTCTGTTATGAATAATAGTGTTCTTTGTAGAGTCATTTTCTGTAAAAAGGCAATCGCAAGATAAATTCTTGTTGTGGATGAACTCCTTTGTCCGTCCGGTTTATTGAGAATAAATATTTTTATTAAAACATTTGTCGAATAAATTATTATACACTGAATTTATGAATTGGCCAACAACCTCGCGAAACCGATAGAAAAAGGTGAGGACAGCCACATCGGTTTTCCGAGGTTTGGAACCATTTCAAAGCATTTACGAATGGGAGTGATTACTTTAATTTGCCTGTCTAAAAAAAAAGCTTTGTTATACTTATTTTCCTCGAAAATCTCGGAATTTTTTAGTTTGCAAAGATTAAATATTCTGTTGGTTAAGATGTGAGGTGCAATTTTTTACTTTATATTTGCTCCTTTTCTGGAAAGAAAAAACCCATCCCAACTTTTAGTAGTCGGTAATTCTTTCTAATAAACGAGAAGTTTTTTTATATTCTGAAAATACATTATTAATGATTCGTTTCCTGGTAATTATTGGTGTAGTATAATATCCGCCATTTGTCCCGTGAATATTCTCGTGGTATTACGATTATTACTGAGACGTACGTTTAAGTAGATACGAGTATACCCCCAACCTGTAGGCTTCCCCATAGTCGATTAACTCGAGGGCGAATATCCGTCTAGGATTAGTGTCTACCGATCGACACAAAGTTGTGAGTAGTACACCTAGTTTACAGGTTACTAGCTGTTAGTAGGAGAAGCCACAGCTATATTTGAAATCTGTAGAGTTAACGATCGATTTTGCTCTCCCACGATTGTAAACATATCAATAACTCTGGTCAGACATTTTGTATCAGTCCATATCAACCATGTTAGTTGCATTTGATCTGACGTGGATTTAAAAAGAAATAATCATGAGTTTGTACCTGAGTGATAGCCAAACCATGCCTGTACCAAAACGCCATTAACTACGTTAGTGATTTCTTGGCCATCACTAAGGTCACATGTCTCGTTTGGTTGGTTGCAGCTTGCCCCAATAAAAATTATCTTTAGTCAGGCGATATACTATTTGGGAGTAGCAGTTTTACTAGAGAATATATTACCCAAATTTATCTAATAAATCCCTCCATCGACACAGATAACAATGCCATAGAGTATAACATGATTTATTATTATGGTCAGCTTCACATGGTAAGAGTAGCTTGCCCTGTCAAAACGGGGGACTGAGCTTGCTGAACTGAGCCAAGGACGGATAGCAATCGAGCAATCCCACGGAGATGGTATTAAATTATCAAAACTGTAACGCAATAAACGCAAAAAGGATTATTGGCTGTGCGTTTTACGACCTGAAAATCTCGCATACATATCCGTGTTTGTTCGGATTTTATGCGCCCAGCCCGAGGTCTCTATTTAGGCACACATGGGTGACTATGCCCAAGCCCGAGCATACTTCCTCGGTATACTGTTATTATTTCCCCGGATACAGACAGCATCAGTATACATCAGATATCGCTTTATGTGTATACTTTGATGCCTGTGCGTCTACTTTAAGTCCTGTGCGTCTACTTTAAGTAAGACCTCGAATTCACGTGATACTCAGATTAAACCTTTGAATTCTAATTTTGGATGGGAATTATAAAAACCGCCAACGATGGAATGTTACTATTTATATTACGCAGTCCAGCAGGAATATAAACCGATTGGCTGGTTTCGCTTGTTCTTTTTTTTTTGAACCGTGGCCAATCAGCGCTTGCTAAAACGTTTAGGAAATTGGAAGTTTTTTTTAGAAGACTCGAATTAGAATGTGACCTTCATGTTACTATGAATAAATCGCATAGAGACCCTTCCCGATGTTATTTTTACTTTATTTGTTAGATACAACGAGACGCATGTGAGCCATAATTCTTAATCCCACATGTAAGACAAATACGGAAATGATTTGTTGGTTATTATCGTTATTATCTGCTAAGCAAGTTCCGTTTTAGGAGATGTAAGTTTTATGCGATAATTATTGATTGGTCATTTTCAGTCATGCGTCTCAACGGCCGTATCCCATCACAATGGATACTTTAACATGGACTATTGTTTTATATATTAAGTTGCTCGTGACAAATCGTGCTTGTGTTTCTTTTTGGTTGGACCGGTTTAACCTGATATGGGTTATTGTCGTCTAAAATCTAACATTTCATGCATAAATGGTGTTTTATAGCCGAAAGATCAACAGAAATGGTACTAGTATGCTTCACAACTTTGAACTGTATTCCGACCGATAAAAGAGCGGAATCATCAACTTCCTCTCTTGTACTTGATACTTAATTCGGCATTGGGCTGTCTCTCCTAACATTCATTATAGTTGACAACCTTCAAGAGGTGTCTTCGCTTTATTAAGCCGATACTTGTATATTCTGCTTGATATTAAATTTCCAATATTACAAAATATATATATTAAATCTCTTTAGAAGAAGGGTATATTCACCATTAAATACACTGAATTAAAAAAGTTTTCACAAATACAACGATGGATAGTAGTGAGGATTTCATAACGTACGACGAAGATTTGTCTATGGGCTTCGACGTTTCAGAGAGTGAAGAACCAGAACCAATCATTATAGATCCAGCCCTGACGTCAAACAGCTACAATATAAAGAAAGCCGAAGATGCTATGCAAACACTGAAAAAATTCGCCAAAGACGATGGATGGCAGCAAGTTATTAAGCACAAGAGCGGAGTCGTCGTCTGTTTGAAAGCGGGAGTTAACAAAGAGAAGATTCCTGTATTTAAAGGTGAAGGTATCATTAAAGGCCATTCTCCCCAGGCAGTTTTTGCCGTTATTGGTATGAGAAAGCTCTGGGACGACTGGTGAGTGAGTGGAATTTACTTGTAGCACTAGTGTAATTGATCCATACAATTACATCAACCTTACTTGTTACTGGCAATAATCTTCTGTTTTGCCATTTCGATTAGGTATGAGGAAGGCAATCTTGTCGAAAATCTAAATGATACTACGAGTCTGACTTACATGGTTATGAAGGGATTGACTGGCTCAAAGTAATATTTTGTCTCCTTTTTCTTTTTCTTGTCATTTGACGCATCAAATTGCTTATGCATTCTTCCCTCCTCTCTTATTCCACCAATCACTAATAGACCTAGAGATTTATCCCTGGTGGAAAAAATCGAATGCCTGCCCACAGGAACAATATGCTTTGTATCAACATCGGTGGAAACACCGAAAGTACCACGCATTTCCAGCAAAGTCCGTGCTGTATTAAAGCTAAACGGTTGGATACTCGAGCCTCTCGCTACCGATCCTCCCTCCACTAAAGTTATTTACGTCTTACAAACAGATGTTAGAGGCTGGGTTCCCGGAATAGTGGCCAAAAAGTATTTGGCAAGGCGTCCACTTGTTGTAAATGCAATTAACACTTATCTCCAAAAGAACGATCCGCCAGCAGTAATCATTAGCACCACTCCGCCACCATCTCATCCGCCATCTCGTAAGCCATCCAAAGTACAACTCAGAGCAGCCCGATCTCTTAAAGGTGAAAACCCGCGTTCCAATCGTAGGAGGAGCATATCCTTGACCAATCAACCGCCCGAGATATCTCGTGAAGTCAAGAACCTGGTCGATATCAGCACACCAAGCCCAACGATTCCGGAAACAGATACGGATTCCGTGGACGCCCTGTCAGATCTGAATACGTCTCTTTTAACCACATCATTGTCGTCTTCCTTCCCATCCCCTCCACTCTTATCACCATCACCAACAATAAAATCATCACCATCACCAACAATAAAATCATCACCATCACCAACAATAAAATCATCCTTTAATGACGTTCCTTCTAAACCGCCATCGAATTCTTCCACGAAACCAAAAGCAGTCGCGGAAGTTGCTGATACGAAATTGGTAAGCCATAGACATATAGACAAAATGCAGGCAGCTCTTGCCGCATTTAAGAAACAAGTTGAAGATAAAAGCGGCTGGCAATTCCACACTGAAAGTAAGGGAGTCAAGACGTACATGAAAGACATACCCGGCAAGTCAATGCCAATGATGCGTGGAGAGCAAACCTTCAAGGGTCAATGGACGGCGGACGATATTTTAGCGGTTATAAATTCGCTTGATTTCCGACCGCTTTGGGATGATCGTTTCGAGGATGGTGAAATTATCGAGCGTCTTGGATCAAACGACTTTCTCCTCCGAACATCAATGAAAGGAAGTTTCCTGGTCAGTGGACGAGACATGGCTGTCTGCGCCACGGTTGACCGTGATCCCGTTACTGGAGCTATTTGGACTATAGGCACCTCAGTGGTCGACTCGACGATCCCTGAAACACGTAAATATGTCAGAGCTGATTTGGACATGGCGGGATGGTACCTCAAACCTCAGTTTGATTCGAGTGGATTTGTAACGGCGGTCGACATAGTCTATGTTGTCGGAATTGATATTAAACTGGATATCGTTCCTTCAGCAATACTTAAACAATTATCGAGTCAAACACCCATGTGTGTCGGCAAAGTCTGCGATGTCATACAAAAATATGGTTATCCGCCGTACATTAGAAGTACAACGGGGGCGGTGACATATGTCAAGTTTGACATCAAATTGTCAAAGTACGACTTGAAATTGACGGATATGAGCGGTGGAGCGGTTGAGTTACGCTTGTGTAGGAAAATATATGCAAGTGGTTTTGATATTTCGATCAAACCCGAAGTGGCGACGGTCGAGGTATTGGCTAACAATACAGACGTCGTGAGCATAACGATACCCGCCAAACCAGATTGTAAAGATGTTAGCATCAAGGTCACAAAGAACATAGAAAGCGGCTTTCAGATGACATATAACGGGAAATATACGATTCCCGTGGCGGGTCCTAAAAGCTTCTCTGAAACCAGTTCCACTAGATCTACTACTCTTAACGAACAAGTGACTAGTGATAAGGCGACTAGTGATACAGTGACTAGTGATAAGGTGACTAGTGATGAGGTGACTAGTGATACAGTGACTAGTGATGAGGTGACTAGTGATAATACATCATCCTGGTCTAAAAGCGCACAAAGTCGTCCGATTATTACTGTGAATCCAGCTTTTATACGTTCCACCCAAGAGACTCCTCGAGAACGTAAGTTTTATCAATAAAATTAAACCGTCGTCAACTTTAGTAGCATTTAATTGCGCATGTATTAATATGTCTACTTGAATTGCCATAGTGCTCCGTAAACCGTCAACAGATGCAGAACGAATGGCCATCTTCCGGGACCGTCTTCGTAAAAAGTCTACATTCGAGACTGCGGTACGTTTATGCTGTATTTTCATTAAGTTTTTTTTTTTTTTAATCAATCAAACACTGACTTTCTTTAATATCACAGAAACCCGAGAAAGTGGAAACATTGAAGACAACCTATGAGAGCGATGACACTATCGCAGCGACGCCTGTTGATAATGAAAAAATAATAAGTGACGTTGTAATCCCGTTGGATAGAACCCAGTTCAACACACATCAGGTTGCACTAATGCTCGCAGCAATGCTGTTGGCGTTCTATACTGGGAAGTTTAGTGGATGTATAGCAAATAATACCATGTAGACATGGGCAGGGAGAATTTCCAACTTAATTTCACTTGTAATTTATTTCTTTAGAGATCACAATTGGAAGTCGTAATATTTAGTGGTGACTGAGTGGACTTTGTGCTATATTAATATTACCTTATCCGCCATCCTTTTACTACGATATCATTATAATTTAAATCTTACCCTCACCTAATACTAATTACATTTCTGAATTGTAATCCAAGTCAAGCATCTAACATTATAAAAGTACTTAATATCAAGAAAAATACTCTTCTCAATATAACTAGATCGAAAGTGACTTCATATATGTTCCCGAAAAAAGGTATCGAGAACCACGTAATAACCTTCCAACAAAACTACGCAGCTTTCGGCTATACTTTATTGTCTGAGGTGCAAATGTCCGTTGTAATCTTTAAACACACGACTCTATTTTAGAGGTATTCGTTGTCGTTTCCTCAAATGCAAGCAATGCAAGCGCACAATTTTCCTGCATGTTGGCTATTTTTATGCGCAGTTGAGCATTTCATATTCAGGTATAAAACCACAGAGAGACTGTTGCGAGACGCGCCAATTTCTGTAAGCGAATGGCTCAAGCACATATTAACTAGCTTCTGCCATTTCTTATTGTTTATACGAACGCTAATACTATTGGCTCATTTAAAATAATAGAGCCCAAAAGACATGTGGTGATTTTCTTATTTCGTTAGTCAATGTTTTTGTAGGTATCTAATTCATTAAGAAATAACTTCAATCATTATCCTCCTAATAAATTTATTCTCCTGATTTATTTTTCCAATGTTCCTAATTATAATACGATAATGGTTTGTTATTCATGGATTTGTACAATTATCGTATTGTTGTCATTATTACCCGAGCAGTATATATAGATTATTGAACGATAATAAAAAAGCAACCTATTTTTTATATTTCTTCAAGTTTTTGTTTCTTTCTTGGTTCATCATAAGCTGGTATTTAATGCTCGTTTATCTTTCGTTCTTCTTGGTAAATTTCATAGTAATAGGTAATCCTTTCTTGATCTAAATATATCTGCAAGGATTTGGTATCTACTAATTTAAAAATATAAGGTGCATTTTCACCCTGTTCTTTTTTTAGAATGCTTCTAATTGTGCTGTAATTCTTAGGTTCCATTGTGGACTTAATGTAAATTAGTTTCATATTTAGTTTTTTATATAGACATAATTCTATATTAATATCAAGCATGTTATAACTTTAAGTAAAAAGTTTTATGATTAGATTTAAAAATGCAATGAAAAACTAGTCCATATGTATTACAACATGTGATCAGTTGCTTAGCTGATCTTTCAGCCACACGTCACCACATCAACAATTCAAAAACAAATTCAATTGACACTAAAATTCACAAATCCTTTCAACGTATTTTGTTTCTTGTTTTCAATGCTTTGCATGTAATTCCTTCATTAATATTAATGATGTGCCAATCTCTAAATTATTTTGCATCATTGACAACTTCTTTTCTAATTCTGCTTCCACTGCTCCAAAATTTTTATCTTGATTGTCATTTTAGGGGAAAATGTCAGTTTTACTCCAGTTACGTCTAACTGCGTTCATTGTAACGTTTTCCCACGTAAGAGCTGCAAAGTTAATTACGACCACTATTAGTTTTAAAAGCAACAATCTCCATTCGTCCTTGCTCGGGGCTTTTTATAAGCTTTTGAGGTTGCTATTATGCTTGTCTTGGTATTAATAATCAAACTCGGCCGGACGTTGTTTTTCGAGGGTTCGTTTTCGCAGGAGTCGCTTAATTTGCGGATTTAATGGTCGGAGTTTAGCTCAGAATAAAGCCGTTAATAGTGTGAGTTGTGTTATTTTTACATTTAAAACAATAATTACGGGTCTTGTGAATTTCAATCGGAAGTTTCACATAATTTAAGTTTGTTCCGTTGGCAGATTTTTTGAAATGTTCCAAAATTTCGCTTTTATAGCAGCAAAGTTGTGTGGCTAAAGGTAGAAATGCAAATGGGTGTGTTAGTTATTAACTGACATGTCGCCACTTTTAGAATTTTTCCAGAATCGCTTGAAAGCAGGGGAGAAACAAATTACAGGGGGCCCTTTATTCGCGGTACATCAACCTTAATTGGTGCGGTAAACTGATTGGTTTAGATACTGCACATTATTACTATTATCGTATATTGTCTAACACAGTACAGATCACACCCCCCTACGATAAGAATCAAGCCAATCATTACACGTGTTAGTAAGAAGCATTGGAAAAAAAAAACAAAAAAAAAAAACAAACGAAAAGTCCCATGTAACTATAGATCGCAACTTTGATTTTCTTAAAGCATATCAAAATGAGAATTTGTTATCTTAGAGACATGTAGAATAAACGTGGGGATGATGCCCCAATGGAGATCGAGGAAAATCAGTACGATTATAATACCTGAATTGGTTTATTATTATTATTATGCATGATTGCATAAACCAATCATAATTATAACACGTGAAATTTTGGATTACATCACAGCGACAAAATCGTGGGCAGTTTAGGTTAAATGATAAGGGACAACCAGCCGTCTTCTCTAAGCAAGGAAATTGTCACAGACAGTGATGCTGAAATCGAATCAAATCCATCTTTCGAAGACCGAGATGCAAGCAGGATGAACAATAAGTCATCGAAGTCATTATCTTCACCGTTGACTGAGATCCAAAAATCAAAATCAATAAAACTAGTCACAGACAAGAGTAAGAAAAGGCCTCGTAGTCGACCAACCATGACGGTATCTAAAAGATTAAAAACAGGTAACTAGATCAAAGAATAATGATTTAACGCATTTCACTTAAGTTTGGCACTATATAGAATAGACCGTAGATATACACATGAACATATGAACTTTTCCTCAAGCGTTTCCTCATCCGCTGACAGCTACTGGTAGGCGAGCGATCAACGGAGCCCTTACCGAAGCTGGACCGTCAAAGACATCCACAACCGGTTCCAAGGGATCTTCAATACGACTAACGAACAACACTGGTACCAATGCTAAAGACAAGTTCCACGAAGCAGAAAGAATAATACCAAGCGATATTGATCCATCGAAAACCACTCCACTTGAAATTGATATCCGACGATTCGACAGAGCAAAGACTGCGGCAGAGGTTCGTTTCGCATCCCAAAACATTATTGAGAAGACGATATATTTGCCTTTTCCCTTTTTTGACCCGTTGTCTCTTATCGCTTTGCAGGCTGCGCTGGCCCTATTGGTGGATGACCCAAGAGTCTCAGAGTCTGCAGACGCAGAAGTGTCAGACGTCCCTCATATGCCAGATTGCAGTAGAACGCCACGAATTAGGAAAATACGACTTGGTGAATGGGAGATTGATACTTGGTATGCAGCGCCTTATCCTGAAGAATATAGTATTCTCCAGACATTACACATTTGCGAGTACTGTTTGAAATACATGAAAACGGAATATGTTGCTAGAAGACATAAAGTTTGTAATACTCTTATTAATATTGACAAAACGTCTTCAATGAACAAGCGTATGAACCTCTCTTTTTTTTTTCTTTTCTTTTCTTTTCTTTTTGTTTCCAGCTAAAGTGTCCGACGAGACACCCCCCAGGAGACGAAATATATCGAGATGGACCAATATCAATTTTCGAAGTGGATGGGCGGAAAAATAAGGTATATTGTTTAGAAGTAAGCTATAACGGAAATGTGTACCCGCATGAAATTTGACTGTTTGTGTACCCGGCCTACTTGTAGATATATTGTCAAAACCTATGCTTGATAGCCAAGATGTTTCTTGACCACAAGACTCTATACTATGACGTTGAACCTTTTCTTTTTTATGTAATGACTGAGGCAGATCAATCAGGGTGTCATCTAGTGGGATATTTTTCAAAGGTATGACTATTTGCTACAACCCGTTAGATAAAATCGCATTACAAAGACTTTTGTCTTACTTTCGCCTTATTTGCAGGAGAAACGATCTAACTCCAACTACAATTTATCATGTATTCTTACTCTTCCGGTCCATCAACGGAAAGGCTATGGTAACTTACTCATTGATTTCAGTAAGTAGAGAAACCTTGACAAGTACAAATTCATTCTTATTCATATGTATAATCGTTAACGCTTTTTGTATTTATTCATGGTAGGTTATCTGTTGACGAAAAAAGAGAATACAGTAGGAACACCGGAAAAACCATTATCAGATCTTGGTTTACTCAGCTATCGAAGTTATTGGCGCAACGTTCTTTTTCATGCACTCAGAAATGTTACTGGATCAATCAGCATATCGAGTAGGTTTCCGTACTAATTGGATGATATTTTCCCCTATGCGTATTCTTGGCTTTAACTATTACTTACTCTCGTAGAACTTAGCCAAGAATCAGCAATGACTCTCGATGACGTTATATCAACACTTGAAATTAACGACATCTTGGTTAAAGACAAGGAACTGGGGACTTACGTAATGGTGGTAGATCGTGAGCTTATTGAAGCACATTGTCAAGCAGTTGCTGCGAGAGGCTATCTCACTCTCAAACCAGAGAAACTCAAATGGACTCCGTTTATACTAGGCAGAAACCCGGGCATTTTAACCTTTAATGAATCAGTGTACAGTCAAAGTTCTTTAGATTTATGAATTTTGCAACATATTGTATAAATTTATCCCATTATAAAGATGTCGAGCATACTTTCTAATTTTATAATTATCTTATTAGCATAAAATAACAATGAATCGTTGGAAAGTTGCTGAGCACTACTGTAAATTGTGAAACTAATAAATATTTACAGGGCAGGAAACCCTAACAAATAAAGTAGATTGGAAGACTGATGTCTAACGATCTTTATGAGATCATATAATGCTGAGTACTCTTTATTATTTTGTCATTGAGCTCTTTTCTATCCATCATGATGTTCTTTCTGTACATTATTTCACTTGACAATTATCTATAGTAAGGGATATTATACTATTGTTTCATCGGAAAGTACACATATAATGTTCGCAGTTTTAGTTGTCTTTTGTTCATGCTTCGACATTACCAGCTGATATTGTAAGAGAGGTTGTCAATCTATACTCAACAATAGAATCAATTGCCATCGTCGAAGATTGAACCATTTATGAGTATCTAGTGATATGACTTCCATTTTCCCGAAATTGATTTAACTTTGTCCTTGTTATCAGGGCACTACCTTTGGCGGCTCGGATATTATCGGTTCCGTTTCCCAATGACCTATGGAAATTAAAATAACCAAACCACGGAAACACTTGCACCTATTGTAACGATAACAGGTAGACAGTAATACATAAATCGTATGAACTAAACGGTCAACTTTCGTTCATCATAAAACTTGTCAAATTTAATGCTTCTATAGAATTGCAGAAAAAGAATAATGTGAGCGAAGATGTATATGTGAGAGTCAAATTATAAAGAGCCTAACATCCTCACAAGCTGTTCATCACCATCATCGTCATTACATTTCCAAATGAGACTATGACTAATAACACTATGTACTGGTTCTGCATTGAACCATTCACGTCATCCTTGTATCGTCGATGACGCAAAACAAATATCGAAAACATTATCGTCGTCAAGATCTCGTATGGGGTTACTTGAATACTGATTGGGCGAAGAGACAAAGATGGTGAAGCTTAGCACCATGAGAATTTACAGACAGCCAATGGTCCGTAATATATGAGAGTTAATAGTTCAATCGGCTAAAGCTCCGTAAATCACAAGTTTTTTGCTCTCCAGTCCGTGTTTTCATACTGATGACAGAAACATTACCAGGACTTGCCACAGGACCGGGTTAATCCTAAAGCATCAGGATTGATAATAGTACAGAACTCAAGGCAATAACTCCTGTACTGGAAATGCGCTTCTGCCATATCTTAAACGTCTCTGGATAGTGGCCCCTTTTTTGCGTCTTGAAATAACTTCCGTATCAACGACCATTTTGATTGAGACTGATTATCCAAACTTAAATCTGTTGGAAGTAAAACATCGAGTTTTTGAAGTGTTTGAAATGTGTCGTGTATCAACTGGTGAGTCTTTTCGACTTGCTTCATCATTCCATTCACTAAACAGACCATGGAATAAAATACTTAGACATTGACAAAGTGGATCTTGACGATTGTTGATACTACGTACCAATGGTAAGTTGTCCAGATACCGTCTTTTTTTGGATCTGGTAATTAGCCATTGACTGAACAATTTCCGTGCAACACGCCTCCACAGATTTAACAGAGATCATAACCATTTTCTACCGCCAGACCAACAGAAAACAACAACAGAATGTACGTTATATAGACTGAATAGTAAACGCAACTAGTCTGTGACGGTGTAAATAGCATCCTTGATCGACTCACTTGCTCATCACATATTTCCTGGGCACATGTTTTTATATGTGCCTGGTAGATCAATAACATGTTATAGATTGATTCATGATTAAATAGGCTGGCTGAAAAATACGCAGCAGATTAAATTAGGTTCCGATTCCCATTAAATGTCAGCACAAGGTTTCGCCAGATACCTACAAGTGCTTCTGTCTTCAGTGCCATTTCCAAAAAGTCCCCCCAAATTAAAACTGTTTGTCTCTGAATTTAGCTTGATCAATGGCTCAAACTAAGGGTTAATGCAAAATCAAGTAAATTCTGGGTAAATGCACAGTCAAACGAGTATTACGGGTAGTTATAAATCCCCCATTAGAAAGTACCTTGGAAACTTCATCGAGTAACAACAACTCAGGATCCTGATTATCTACGATTTCATTGTTATTATTAATCGTCACAACTCCCTAAGTAACAGTAAATATTGAATTAATAAAATAAGTTGCGTATCGCAAACGTGACAAGTAAATCTATTGCTAGAACTACAGTACTCTCTCAATGTCACGACGGGTAGCCTCTGCACGCGAGTAGCCATCCTCTTCTTCTTTGTTTTTTGGATCACCGTTAACTTTTCCTGTTGCCTCATTTGCCGCTGTTGAGGAATCAATGGTATTTTCAGCGCTGGCTATTTGCTCAGTAGTTTCAATGGTGGTCCCTTCCAGATTAATAGTTAATGGTCTTTCGGTGTCTGCCGTGATAGCAGACGCTACCTTACTCTCCATGCCTGTTCATGGAAAGCTGTTGGTCAGTGACAATTTCCAGGTTTAAGATTGACATACTCGTGGCGCATCAATGAATGAATGGATCAGCACAAAACAGAAAACCTAATAACGCCACAATATTGCAGGGGTAGCTAACTGCCGTTTAATCGACGTAATAGTAATAGTAAGCAAGTCTTTATTATTGAACTTATTAGACTTTGTAAAGCAGACTGTGTTATTATGGCAGCTGGATAGATGGCTGTTGTCATCAATGAAATCGTCGCGATGTTAATATTAGGGAATGATATTTAATGTTAATGTCTTTAATATAACTCACGCTGCTCTGAAGATTCAACGGAAATAGCATTTATTGCGGATTATGTCTAGTCATTAAGTTTCTCGAACCAACAAAATTTTCGAATTTAAAACACGTCTTTAGTTCGATGCGAGAAAATAGCGCGCACTGATCTGAGGCTATTAAATAATTTGGGAAGAGTCAGAAAGTTAAGAATTACGTGGTGATAAGAGAATACTTCTTCGTTTGTCACCATTAGTAGTATGTTGTTAGAGAAATAATAATAGTTCTAATTGTTACTTTACACAAATTTCCTTTATATTGAAGAAATAGCTCATCATTATATGTTTGACAGTCTAAGAGACTTGGCCATATGTTTGCGATTGATCGCACACATGACATTCCCTTAATTCCGGCGACGGTATCATGAACCGGGCTTTAAAACGCGGGATATACCCATAGCGATGACCGCAAATCGGTATAAGATGGTATGCAGTCTCTGTCGGTTATGAATGAACCTGATGTCAATGATTGAGTTTGAACTGCAAAATTAAAACTTTCAAACTTTGGAATTGCTACGAGCTTTTTGGTAAACAAGTAGTCCCACAAGTAGTCCTACACTACATACAAGCGTTTGCTTCTAATGACGATAGGATTGATGAATCTTCCTAATGACAGTATTGCTCCCTGTACTTTCGTTAGGGAATGTTAAATTAGTAGTAAGTCGAATATGACGTCAATTGTATATAACACAGCGTTGGGAATATCTCAACAGGCGGAAGTTTTAATGACGGCGCACATAGTATAATAATAGAATAGCTATCCGATTGATTGCCCAGTGAGAACAATCGCCACGATGACATCAATGTTTATGCTACAAGCAAGCAAGCAGATACAATAGTTTTAGTATTGTTTATCTGCGGAATTTGTATTATGCACGTTAGGACGTTAGGCATTTATAATGCCTTAATTGCCCGTGCGATGATATGTCATGCTATCTATTAACCGGATTAGTACTAAATTGGCCTCGTTCATGCTATCCACGTTCCCCATTGTATCAGTCTCGTCTCTCGTTTGACTTCAGTCCTCTCTTCCGACTTTGACTTCTGATTTCAGTTACCGCCCTACAAACCAATATGTCCCGGTTGGTTAGTACCTCGATACTATGCTGATATCCTAACTTTCGTTTATTATTATATTTCAGCTAGAGGTTTGTCACATATCACACACTTTGTGTAGGCGACACCAGGCTATGTGTCCACAAAGTGGTATCGAACGCAAATTACTATTGCACATCATCTGGAGAATATACCAAGAATGAAAGATACCATTACATACCCACCAACACCCGAGAGACTAAGAATGCTTTCCCCCAAAAAAATTTTGATCAATCTCATTTGGGACGATCATATGTTGTATTAATATAATTACTTTCACGTGATTGCTTAATGTACATAATAATAATAATTTAATTTAATAATAATACATAATTCAATCAACCACTAAAAATGTTCTATGAAACAAAGCATTTATCAATGTCCACAATCAAAATCTTTAGATTAACTAACAACTTCACAACACAGCGCTCTGTTACTCTGCATCCTCGCTTTCTGACTTAACAACCGGCTCTCTTTCTGACGCAACTATATCTTTTTCCGACTCAACCACCACCTCGCTCTTTGGCTCACTGTCTGCCTTTACGCTTTTATCTGCCGGTTTCATCCCAAAGGCTCTCATTGATATCCAGTATGTCTGGAAAAAGTCGACTTCACTCTCAAAGTCTATTGCCAGCTGCGTATACTCGTCCGCATTCATTCCCAAGAATGGAGCGAGTACTGATTTCAAGGCCTTCATGCCTAGCAGATGATCAACGAGTGCTACTTCACCAAGTCTATGTCCCCAA